TCTGTAAGGAAAATGAAAAAGGTCTCTTTCTAACACATTGTTTCTTATGACAAAACCAAAATAATTTTTTTTTCTCGATAACGGTTAGAGATAAACCTATCGAACCTCATATCATTAAAATTAGAAAAATCATAGCTTTCCAATAAGCTATTAATATACAGGGTTAGTAAAAAGTACTGCAACACTTAAATATCTTCAAAACCGCTTAAGCCGCGTTCACGCAATTCGGAATCTGACAGTTTTTGGACACGCGAAATTGGACAGTGCTATTGGCAATGTTGCCAGATTTCTCAGTTTGGCGCTACACGTAGTCTTTTTGTTATCTTAAATAGAATGCCTCATTTATTTTTATTGTAATGAATCGGGCATGCCAAATTTAATAGGATCCCAAATTTTCAGAATTCTATCTCTACTAGTTGCTGAAATATGACAACACCGTATTTTCGGTGAAAAAGTATCGCAAAGCTTGAATATCTTCAAACGCCGCTTAAGCACGTTCACGAAATTTGACATCTGGGGGTTTTTGGGCAAGCGAAATTCAACTGTGATATCAGCATTGTTGTCAGATTTCCCAGATTTGCGCTACACATATAGTGTTTTTGTTTTCTTGAATAGAATGCCTCATTTATTTTTATTGTAATGGATCGGGCAAGCCAAATTTGATAAGATTCCAAATTTCCAGAATTCTATCTCTACTAGTTACTGAAATATGTCAACACCGCATTTTCAGTAAACAGTATCGCAATGCTTGAATATCTTTAAAACCCGCTTAAGCTTGTCCACTAAATTCGGTATCTGGGGATGTATGGGCAAGCGAAATTCAACTGTGATCTCGGCATTGTTGCCAAGTTTCTGAGTTTCGCACTACACGCAATCTTGTCAAATTTGGCACGCCCAATTTATTGCAATAAAAATAAATATATATTCAAGAAAACAAAAAAACTACGTGTAGCGCAAAACTGGGAAATCTGGCAACAATGCCGATATCACAGTTGATTTTCGCTTGCTCAAAAATCTCCAGATGCTAAATTTCGTGAAATTGCTTAAACGGCGTTTGAAGATATTCAAGCGTTTCGATACTTTTCACCGAAAATACAGTGTTGTCATATTTCAGCAACTAGTAGAGATAGAATCCTGAAAATTTGGAATCCTATGAAATTTAGCACGCCCAATTCATTGCAATAAAAATAAATGGGGCATTCTATTTAAAATAACAAAAAGAGTACTTGTAGCGTAAAACTGGGAAATCTGGCAACATTGCCAATAGCACTGTTCAATTCCGCATGCCCAAAAACTGTCAGATTCCGAATTGTGTGAACGTGGCTTAAGCGGCTTTGCAGATATTTAAGTGTTGCAGTACTTTTTACTAACCCTGTACAGGGTGGGCCAATTTGGACACTTCCTTATGGAAACACCCTTTATTTTTAGAGATGGAAAAAAATGAACCCCCCACTCTGAGGCTCAAATTTCATGAAATTTTGATTGGTGCAAACCGCTTTTTTATATCTTCAACCGTTTAGCTACTAGAGGGCGATTCTCGATTTTGAGCAATATTGTGAACTCTTCATAACTTTTTTGTTTATGAAAATAATTGATTTCCGTAAAAACTTTCTGGAAGCACTTTTTAAAACAGAATTCGGGAACGTTCTCAGTTTTTTTCTATTTGGCGCCGATTTTGTGATATTGACCAAAGTCTGATTTTTTTCAATGGGACACCCTTTATATTAATAGCTCATTGCAAAGCTATGATTTTTCTGATTTTAATGATATAAAGTTCGATAGGTTTATCTCTAACCGTTTTCGAGAAAAAAAATAATTTCGGTTTTTCTCATAAGAAGCAATGTATTAGAAAGAGACCTTTTTCATTTCCCTTACAGATATGAACTCCTTTTTTAACACATTGCTTCTTATGACAAAAACCAAAATAATTTTTTTTCTCGAAAACGGTTAGAAATAAACCTATTGAACTTAATACCATTAAAATCAGAAAAATCATAGCTTTTCAATGAGCTATTAATATAAAGGGTGTCCCATTGAAAAAAATCAGACTTTGGTCAATATCTCAAAATCG